TTGGGTATCACATTGATGTCGTTTGTGTGGTCGATCGAAGATGTAACACAGTGGTATCACTATGCATCTTATATATGATTAGGTATCACARTGTCTCTTTTGTTTAACAGAGTCAATATTTTTATGTATCACAGTGGTATCACCGGAGGACGGTGGCCGGAGACCGAAGGACGGTGGCCGGAGGCTGGAGAACGGTGGCCGAAGAGAGGAGAGAGGAGAGTTTTAAAACCGGTCTCGATCCCAGCTGGGCCCAAATCGGTCCTACGTAAAAAAAATTCAATTTCTTATGCAATTTTTTTAAAGTTTTTCGTTAAAGAGTGTTATTCTTAATTTCTTATACAGTTGAAAATATGTAATTAGGTTAATTAAATATACTTAAAACCACGTTTTTTGCAATAATTGTGAACGGCTTATGAGTTGGTATTTTCCCTTATGTATCATATGACTTATATATACTAGAGTCTAGAGGTGATCATTTTCGGGCCAGGGCCCATCCATTTCCTCAATAATGGTTGTCCAATCCCGTATTTTTAGCGGGTCAGATGGGTCGGGTCTAACGGGTCGTCTCGCCCATGAACAACTCTAATATATACTGAATATAAGGTAAATAGAGACGATTAAATACACTTAAAAAATACGTTTTGTAATCAGTTTTCAATCAAATACACTTAAAAATTATAAATACATTTAAAGATAAATTTAAAATATTCTATTTATATCACACTCTTATTTTATTTAAAAAATCAATATAATTTTAATATTCTATATTTATGTAAGAATTAATCCAAATTGTGGCTTTTTAGTTGAAGTATGGGGAAGGATGAATTGAAGATACCGAGAGGAAGGCATACGATGCCAATGCTTACCGCTTAGAAAAAGCAACACCTTCGCATGCCTATTGCCTTCAACTATCAACACACACCATATCTGATTCTTTTTTTCTTAAATCCAATTTTTATATTTAATATAAATGAATAATTTTTTTTTAATTATAAGTCTAAAATAAAATAATATCTTATTGTAAATAATAATAAATTTTATATTAAGAAAAAAAAAACTAATACGTGTAATAAATCTAGATGAGTACTAATCGAATCTATATTTGGTTAGCGCATTAATCAAAATTATATTTAAATTTAAAAACTTAATCCCAGAAAAAAGAGAAGATTTGTTGCAAGTTGTTTAAATATTGTTGCTTTTTAGGCATATGTTTAACCTTTCATACGTCCTTTTGTCGTTATCCATCTTTCTCTACATAATAATTTCATCATTAGAAGTCGCAATGATAACAAGTTAATAACAACATATTCTTTTTATTAAAATATAAAAAAAATTAGGCTCGAAAAAAACAAAATAAAAAACCTAAAATTAATTTGTATTTTATTTTTAAATATTTTACAAAATCAAGAATATCTTTTTATAAATTGTATTTTATCATTAAATATGTATTATTTTTATTCTTAAAAAGCAACACATGAATGAGCTGATAAATTTATTTTTTACGAAAGTTATTAGCTTTTGAAACATAATCTCGTGACCAAAAAGTTGAAAATTATGACAAAAAAGGTTTGTTCATATGGACCCCCTTGTCTTTTGCCATTCTATGGTACCAAAACATAAGTTGATTTTTTTTTTTGTCAAAGCATTTAATTAAATATATCTGATAGTTTTTTTTTAACATATGAACGGTAAGATTTAGAATGTGTAAACCGTAACAAAATATGGTGCAGTACGGTTTATGCGGTTTGCATTTATCTCACTTTATGCATATAATTTAATAATTATATGTTTAAAAATACATTATAAAATCAAAGATAAAGTGACCGTAGTCCAAAAAATAAAGAGTTTCAACATATTGCATAATTAAAAGAGTCTTAAGAAGTAGAAAAATAAACTTCAAACTAAATTGGACGTAAAGGTTGTGATGTGTTCAACTAATTTATTAC